TGACAACTTTTCTTTCGATTTTTGTCTATTAAGGGCAGCGAAGGATTGAATTGTACACCCACTTTGTTGATGCAAAAAAAAAAAAAACACCTCCGAACGCGAAATATCACTTCATTGTTTTCGCAGCCATTTCAGAGATGAATTTACTAACCTCGTTCCCAGGGTTTCTCGTCTTACCGCCCCTGGAGGGCGGTAAGAGAGAACCCGGGAACGTGGTTGGGATGAAACGACTATGGACACTACATGGAGCCCAAGCTCAAGCCGGGAGCGATGATCCTTTTGCGTAGAGATCATCTTGCATAGGAGCGTCATGGTAAAATTGTTGTACGGGAATATTTACGATCGGTTTTAGAAGCTAGAAATACTAGGAAGCTCTTAATAAAAATGCCTTATCCTACTTCCACAGTGTCTTGCTTGTTAATTGTCTGTTCGCTTTTTCTGCTGATCTGAAGCGATTTCAGCGATTTATAGTCACCTAGGTTACCTACTCTAAAGATAAAGGCAAGGCTGCACAGTCTAATTCTGAACGTCCGATCCAAGAAGCGAAAATTGTGAGTCACTGGTATCACAGGGAGTTAGGACGACTACGAAATTCGGTTTGGCTTTGCATGAGAGCTAATGGAGCCTCAGCTTGCAAAGAAGAGGGGGTGAATAGGTTTACGGATCGACGGGATTTGGCCTTCAAAAGTACACGGATTAGGATGTCACGAAAACCTGGACTCGGAAAACTCGGACCTCAGACACCGAAAACTCAGATCCCGAAACCTCAGACCCCGAAAACATTGCGTGACCATAAGACATTTCAGGTGATAAGAATTGAAAAGAGTTAAAATCTTTTTTCTTTCTTTTTTTAATCTCGAAGGGTCTGAGTTTTCGTGACACCCCACGGATTGCGGACTTTTGTGATATATATATTGAGCGGATTCGCGGATTTGTAAAATACGGTGGATCGTGGATTAGTTGTGAATTTCAGCGCGGATTCCCGACTCTACTAGTCTCTTGAGTTCGGATCATGGATTCTAAACGAAGTTTTGATGATAAAAACTAATAATAATAAATGACTTTACTGGACAACCCAATTACTGGTAGAACCATTAGGTCTTATTGTGGTCCTTAAATTCTAACAAACAACTACAATTACAAATTCAAATAGAAAAATACAAAGAAAATATACAATTTAAAATTCATTAAAAATTCCTACTAATGATAAAGTTGTCAATTCTAGTAGAATTCTGATCTTTGTATTTCTTGTATATTAGATTTCTAATTATACAAAGGGGAATGAGGCCCCTCGTAGTACTGTCTTGATTGTTCCATAGTCTAGTGCCACTTGCCAAAAATGAACTTTTGCTGGTCTTGGTGTTAAAAAAGGAGTGGTCAGTAAGTCCATGTTAGTTGAAGCTCGAGTTGTGTAATGATGTCTGTTATTAACAACACGAATATAATGATTAAAGTAATGAGGACACTTTCCATGGATAATATTCAGGGGCACCCAACGGATCGTTTCGGTAAATTATCTTTTCGGATGGCCTTTAATCCCCTCTGATTTCCTGAAGAGAATTGTCACCTCGAACTTTCGTGATATGAGAAATTTAATGTCTGTTGTTTTCGAATTGTGAAAAATGTCGTTTTGGGCACCGAAAAAAGGTCAGCTATCATTTTCGGAAAGGCGATAAGACCTAAGGTTTTAGGGGAATGGGCTTAAAAAAAAGCCCTAATAAATTTGAGAATACTCAAGTTCCCCTAGAATAACCGAACAGATAAACTTTTTTTAGCGCAACCTAAAATTAACCTACAGAGCTTTAAAAGTACTCCAGATAGCCTAAAACAGCGTTTGAGAGAAAACGGTCTTGGGTGCCCCCGAATATTATGTATAATACACAGCTGTTTCCCTAACTCTATTATCGGATCCAGCCTAACCTCTTAAAAAAGTTCAACTGAACTTTCATATATGCGACCATCTAAACTAACTCTTGCACAACGTTTTTGAATTCTTAGGAGCCTATTTACACCCGCTTTCAGTGTTACGTGCATAGCAACTATCTCTCGATATGCCATTATTCGACATGCTATGTAACCTGGCCTACGTCAAAATGTAAGTACATGTGGCTTCTTTACGGTCGAACTCGACTTTTAGTCATGAAAGATTGATTTATTTGACATCAAACTAAGGCTAGGAGTATCAAGAAAACATTCTGTGAGTGATAAATCGACTGCTTTGAATGTTTACATCTTTCGATTTATTACTTAACTGAGCGGTAGCGGCCCAATTCTAGCGGAAGTCGCTATTGAGAGCCGATCGACTACACTAAAATCGTTTGAAGTCCGCAATTTTCTTCATTCATTTGAGCATAACTATGATTTGAGGTCAGTAATAATCATATACTTGCCATTTGTCCCGCTAATAACCGGAAAAATTGCTAGTTTCACAGGTAAACGGGGTTTTCAGCCGTTCACATAGCATGTCGAACATGGAATGTCGAGAGATGGTCGAAAGATGTTACCTATGCACGTACTGACTGAAAGCGGGTGGAAATTGTCAATCTTAGTGTTTCCTAACACAGAACAACAATATTCAAAGATTGATTTGATTAAAGCGTTGTATAGCAATTTTGAAACTGACAGATTAAGGTACTTTTTGTCTCTTTTAAGAAGACTGACCCTAGAATTTAACTTAGTGATCATGTAATCTACATGGCTATTCCAATTGAAGCTAATCAAGATGTTTGTCTATCTTCACGCCAAGCAGCTTTTCGTTGACAACCCCTTCGATTTCAATACCTCTCAATGAAAGGTTGAGCAATGGGTCTGTGCAACAAGAAAGCTTTTGGTTGGTTCCAATACGGTAGTTGCTTTGTTTTCTTTGCATTTGGGACCATCCTGTTTAGCGAGAACCAGCGATCCGCGCTTTGTTGAGACTTCTCTGAAGTTCATGTTGGATATGCAAAGTTTCTTTCTCAGTTTAACCAAGTGACAAATCTGTTAGATCAGTTATCCATTGTCTTAAGATTAGGAATTGAGTTATCGTCCCATAATTTCCAAAATGCTCCGATGCCCTCCGGTCTAGTTCAGACCAAAAACCTCAAGACGGGGACGGAAAAAAATAGTCTTACATACTGCTGTTGCAGTGAAACTACGCCACAGAAAATTTCCAAAAAATGCGGTTCCGGATTTGAACGAAAATATCGGTGGATCGGCGGATTTGGCGAAAAAATAGCACGGATCGGCGGATTTATGTACCCTTATTCACCGGCCCCCCTCAAAGGAAGTCGTGCCTATTTACATAATCCGATCCATCCTGGCTATGCTATCATTCGTTAATCGCCCGATTACAGAATAAATCAACATCGGAACTTTACAGCGGAGCGACCGACCGTTCATTTGTATATCATTTCCATAGTCTGATCAACCGCACTACAACTCGTAACTTGCTATTGCTATCTCGAGTTAAAAAAGGCTGAACCGCTAGACTCTAATTAATTTGTTACGCACGTTTGGGTAACAAATTTACTATAGCCTCCTGTAAATTACCACGAGTACGGGTTCGCCGCTCACTGAAAGCGGCTTTGCCACGAAAAAAAAACCCTCTGGCATCCAGGGTATTATCGTTATTAAAAAATTATGAAAGCGTCAGCTAATGTATTGTTTTAAAATTGGTACCTCAAAGTGGTAAAAATTTTATTCAAGTCACGCCCACAAAACAGGATTTCGGTACCCTTTAGGGGTTCTTGTCAAAATTTCCGACGAGCACCCCAGTTCTTTTTATATGGGAGTCCCTCCGTGGGGCGATAAACCAGATATTCCATGTCGCCATGTTGGTTTGTAAATGGAAGCTTGACCGAGGGTTGAAGCAGAGGGTGGGGATGGGGCACTCGTCCATTTTTCCACCTCACGCCTACACCCTCAGCAAATTTTCCCCTCATCCCAGCCCTCCACAGTTGCCAAATCCAATTTGGCGGCCTAATACGTATGAAAATGTGCACTCGCGCCCCAGAATATACGCTTGCCCTACAGGCTATTCTCTTAGTGTTAAAACTAGTCTGCACTGTGAGGCGATGGAACATAACAATATGTAACATATTTAGCATTGTAAATGTGTCTATTACAAAACAAATTTTGCGCCGATGGAGTCCGATTAATTGCGCGGTTTTGACCTTTTTAAGCCGCCACAAAGAGCACCTTTCTATAATTTTCCCACTGGTTGCAAGGGACACTGGTAAGGTGAGTTTTGGGCATTTTATTTCCCCTCGTCTACTTTAAAATTTCTTAGGCTCTTGACATGATGCTTTTAATTTCAGCAAAACGCTCCTGTCGTTTAAGAGAAAACGATATATATCCTACAATCTGTCACGTATCTCGAAATTAGACCGGTCAATCCTGAAAATTTTCCGAGCCCTCTATTAAAAGACAACAAATGCAGCAAATACACTATGTATATGATAGCCAATCCTGAAAATGTGTGAGACGTTAACTGACTTATGTTAGGAGTAAACTTGTGGTCTATGCCCCGACTTAATTGATGTGGTTGACTGGACTGCTGGAGCTCGATTCGAATGTGTACATATTTGTCACATTTATACGATTTATTACGGACTGTTAGTTTAAGCTCGGTGGACCTATTGCCCTCAAAATGGAGCTTATAACTGGCACAGTTAATGGCGCATACTAGGTAATTAGACTGTTTCTTCAAAAACCTGCTTTATTCAATACACCAGTGAACGGCATTAGCAGAGCGAGATTCTGAGAGAGGTTCTCTAGCCTTTCTATGATGTACGTGTCTCATTGCGCTTTTTAGTCAGGTAAGTAGCCTGCATACATGATGGGTAAGAAATTTTGCATATGTAATCTCGTTGTTTGCGTTGCAGGGAAGCAACTTTTCCGCGTGAATCAAATGTACAATGAGTATGCACAAGTTGACAAACCGTCGTAACATGCAGCCAAGTATCAAGATACTAACTCAAATTTTTGATTGTGCATTGTCTAACATTACGTTATCCTACCTGCAATGGGGACACAAACGAAGGATAAAAGTAGAGCTTTGACAGCGAAGACGACCAACTTCCTCATGATAGACCTCGATAACTTCTCAAGAAACCATGGATACCTTGAGATGAAAATATAATTTATGCGTCTATATGCTAAGACGTAATTATCTAATTTGCATATCATGCTAGCCAGCGATAAGGGACTGTGCATGCAATAATTATCAGGATGGGGCAGGGGGCTGTAAAGCCGGAGTGGGGAAAAATGTAAAATCATATATCCTAACAGAGGGGGAGGTGACAAGTAAATTTCTTTTTGAAAAGCAGGGGAGGGGAGGGGGGCGGACGGTATCTAATTTTCTTCTGGGCAAGTTCGCTTAAAGATTGCAACATCACTTACGTCTCATCACAAACACTAAGGGTCCCTATTCGGATAGGTGCCCCCTTCCATCGCCAGAGGAGTATTGGAAATTATTTTCAGCTAAATTCACAGTACAATTACAGTGCGATATCGATCTTGTTGATTCAAGTCATTGTACTTTTTTAACTGAGCTCTTCAACAGCGCACGAGGCTTCATCAAAATTGATTTTCGTTACATTAAGCTGGAATTTCCGTCAAATGAGAACATAGAGATTCTCGGGAAACGGCGCGCATACTCTTGTGACGCATCACACCTTACAGCAATTCGGTATTTCGCTAAAAAGCAGGTGCAGGTTGCTTATCAGTTGCAAACTACAAACACGGTCCAATAAACTCGATGACTTAAAACATGCAAGACCGTTGTTTAAGCACATTGCCGCGGCTAGCGTCCCTATTGGAAACCAGCCTAAGAGCCGGCAATTCAGCAAGCTCACCTTAGCTTTGAGTCATGCGCGCGAGCATTAAGCGCAGGTTAAAAGATTGCTTTTGGATATTAATACTCGTAAATCGTGTGGTCATCATATGATGCCGCCGAAGCTTGTCAAAGAATCGGCAGCTGCGATAGCTGAGCCCATCGTTAAAATTCTGAACACCTCCATTGATCAAGGATGCTACCGTAGGCCTTGGAAAATTGGTCCAATAACGCCTTTGTTTAAAAAAGGCGATAAATTTAACAAAGCACTGACTATAGGCCCGTTACAGTCCTACCTGTGCTTAACAATATATATTACAGGTTGTTAGCTATGCATCTGAGTGAGTTTTACCGTGCGATTCTGTCGGATTTCATCAGTTCATATAGAAAGTTCTATAGTTGTGAGACGGGACTGTTGAGGTTAACCGAGGATTGGAGGAGCATGCGCGATAGAGGGAATTGGTTGCGGTAGTGTTTATAGATCTGTCTAAAGCTTTCGTTGTTGTTCAACATGATTTACTCCTGGCGAAATTCAAGGCGTATGGTGTACGCTGGAGATAGAAGTTGTGCGCTACTCAAGGATTACTTGACAGGGGGACAGCAACGAGTCAAGATTGGGGATACTTTTTCCACCCGGAAATGCGTCAAACGAGGACTTCCTCACTGAGGGAGTGTGATGGGACCTATGTTCTTTACTGAACTTATTTATCAATGACTTGTTCTACCGTGTTCAATGGGAAAAACTGCATGCGTACGCGGATGATCATTAGATATACGTTTCTAACGTTGACCCGGTAGCTATTAGAGGATTGTATTTCTCGTGAAGTCAACATTGCAAACCAGTGGTATGGCAACAACGGTATGATTGTTAATGAGAATAAACCCCAGGCTATGGTCCAGGGAAAAACTGAACACAAATTTTCGTTTCTACTAAAATATTGCTATAGATATTTTTGGAATGAATATAGATCATAAGCTTTCTTTTGATAATTATATATTTAGTATCTGCAAGAAGATAAACAAGCGGTATAACGTAATGCGTAGACTTCGTAATTTTATTTCTAAACACACCCTCTTAAGATTGTATAAGGCTTTTATCTTGCCACACTCTAATTACTGTTCATCAGTATGGCATTTTTGTGGTGCGCGTAATGCTGAAAAAATAGAGATTCTTAACAATCGCATTCTTAGATTCATACTTAAGGACTATGACTCGCCCTATGGTGATTTACTGGAAAAAAATTAATTTAAAACCCTGTATATTAGACGCCTTCAAAATTGTTTAGTTATATTAGCTATATAGGAGTCTCTTTTTCAATAACTATCCAATATACTTAAGTAATATGTTTACTCTGCTCTCTACAACCTAAAGTTTTACGCGGTAATTATATTCTGTCTTTTCCTGATCAAGAATTGAAGAAACAACTTTCGGCCTGCATTCCTTTTCATATTTAGCTGCTAAATTATGGAACTCTCTTCCGGACTCGCTTAGAACTTCTACTTTTGCGGACTATAATATGAGTCCTTTCAGTAGCACTGCAACTTCTCTCTAGTTTCATGAACATAGATTAGCTTTTTCATTATTTTTAGCATATTTCTTGTGTTAGTAGTGTCCTTTGTTATATTTATGTTCTTGAAGATATTAGCTAATTTTGGCTACTTAAAATTCGAGAGAAAATACAGTATATGTATATATGTATGGATTTCCAACCTGATTCTCGGTATCCACGGAGACGCACTTTTGGCTTGTCACGCAACCCTCCTTCCCCGCAACTTGGGGAGGAAGATTGCGTGACCAGTCCAAAAAGAGAGTACGTACGTGTATGCGCCGCAGGAAAAAGTTGTCATGTTTTATTTAGTTACTATTGGTTGGTTATTTGATACTTGACGCGTTATGAGTTGACACGGCCCAAGAGGCCGAATTCGAAATTCGATAGCCTTCTTTATACAGGCTCCCTTTCGCAGTTTTGTTTTGCAAAAAATAAAAATAAACGAGTATTTCCAGTGTTGGTCTCTGTTATAAAGCGAGGCACAAGTTGAAATGCAAGCAAGTAAATATCGTAAACTGCTGCTTATAAGACGCCCCGGTTTTAAAGTTTTAAAGCTGAATAACCATGCCAGTAAATGAAAACCCTGTTTCGATCAACATTTACAGCTACTCTCGTTTCGAAACGGGTTTTGTATTCCGGTTAAAAGACCCCTAGGATATAAGCCCCTTCGTTTTTTTTGTTTTTTTTAAAGCCCTTTACCTTACGAGGTTGTTTAAGCCCGGAGCTTATAATTGGCAAGAAGAAAGAAGAAAGGAAAAAACAAACAAACAAACAAACAACGAAAGAAAGATATGTACATGAACTGAACTTCATCCAAAGGAATCGTGTTCAGGCGTTTGACCCCACGAACTTGAACAGAGCGTCCCCTTCTATTTCCCTGCAAATGATGCATCATGCCGCTCTGTATGAGATTTTCCTTTTGTACTCGTGACGATCATTTCAGCGACATCTGAACAACATGTGTTCACAGTCTTGTTTGTCAAACAATTGCTTGTTTGCATTGCCAAGAACGATCTTTACTGTGGCAAAAACAAAAAAAAATATTTATATATTGGTAGGTACCGCTGATGTAATAGTTTGCGGGCCCTCAAACTTTAACATTCGGGGCACATCAAGGCATTCTGCTCCGGTCTGCGTCGTTCTGGCTTACTTCCCTGTTGACTCTCACAGCTTGTATTTTCATTCTGTAGCTTGAAAGTTGCAATGTTTTCAGCGCTGTACGGCGTTTCTGTGCTGCTAAACTTGGTTGTGTTTTTTCGTGAGGCAGGTGAGTATCCACTACTGATGTGTTGAGCGAAAATTTCTCTTGGCGCGAAAAGCAAGCTTCGCGATCTGGAGTCGCGATCTGTTAGCTTCCTCTTGGATCACATTTTTGCCATGGTTTGTGTCACATTTTTTTTTCGCTTTGTAGAATTGCAACCTGTATTTACAGCAGAACCTTCAAATCCATTCCCTGTTCTGGAAGGTAACAACATCACTTTGGAATGGAGCTACGATCTTAGAGGTGGAACGTTCAGACGTGTTGAGTTTGAGGAGGTTATAACTTCTGGCACAATCCTGATTGTAGAAGTCAATACCCTAGGCCAGACACCATCATTCTTGAAAAACGAATACAAAGGTCGATTACAACTGAATGTAACAGCTACACAAACATCTATTACGATCCTCGAAGCGAACAG